ACCTTTAAAGCCATAGCTCCACCCATTCACCTAGTAGTTATATAAAACAATTTTACTCTGTGGAAGAAACTCAAATTATATTAGTTCTGCTTGGGCATATGCCTTTCATTGAGAACTTCTTACAAAATTAACTGTATATATACATATATTTTTGTTATCCTTCCTCGTACGTAATTCAAACTGTTGTAGCAGAAAAGACTCAACCACCATTCACTCTCTGAGCAAGAAAATATTAATACAGCAATAAGTTTAAAGCTAGAAATGTCACATGAAGAAAAAAGCAAGGAAACATACTAATCTATTAAATGTACTTTAAACAAAGCCAGCATTTCAGCAAAACACACATAGTTATATGACAAAGTTGCTTGATAATCTAACTACAAAGTAGTTTATTTTGTGCATATGTATTACAGTTTTATCAATGAAGACATTGCCAAGAATTTTTACTATCATTTTACCTGTTAAACAAAAACCCTAAACTATTAGTGGTAAAATAAGAGTTTGCTAGAAATTATGGATCAAATACTCTGTTTTCTGTCTGCTGCACTCTCTCTCTCTCTCTCTCTCTCTCTCTCTCTCTCAACACATACACACACATACACACACACATACACATACTTGTACAAGAGTAGGCTCACATCATCAACACAAGTAATTTTAAGAAGAAATAAATTAAACTATACCTCTTTTGCCATTGCCGGTAAAGAAGGCAGCACTGATTTATCCACTTCCCTCTCTTTACAATTGAAACCTAAAATCTTTATCACATAGTATTTCAGCATCTGGCCCACAAGGAAAGGAAATGACACAGTTGTGTGTTGAAAATCTTTCTCTGAATTGTATTTCAATAGCCTTCACATCAATGCACAAGTTAGCAAAATCTAAATTTGTCAGATAACTCATTCCCTTTCCTTATAGCATATTGAAAAAAGAGAAGTTTAAAAAAAAAGAGCAAGAGTTTTGGAGCAGGGTACAAAATTGACATCCTGTCAGCCATCCCTGGCTAATAAGTTATGTGTGACTTCTACAGCATTCATTATTTGACACTATGTCTTCTTACAGTCGTACAGTGTTGAGAAAGATACCGTGTTTTGTTTCTATCACTCTTTCCCCCTGACTTTATAACAAAGAACAAAACAAGAGCCTAAAGAGCAAAACAAAGAAAGGATACAGCATCGAACCACAGTAAGCAACGGTGCTGCTGCTCGCTTCAGCTCTCTCTGAAACGCTTTTAGTTTAATCATTTCAGCATTTTATAGGACCATATTGGAATAAAGGAGGCTGGAGAGCTAGCTTGAGGGAAATCAAAACCCTTTACCTTTTGACACATGGTCAGAGGTTTATACATTTTCCTTATCCATTCAGTTATATTCTGAAGTTCAAGTATAACCCACTTAAAAATTCAATATTGCATTATTAAGATTTTACAGCTAATATTTCTTAAAGAGATATGTTACTTATGTCCCACAAGCAATTATTGGTGCTCCAAACAGAAGGAATTCTTCCTCTTCCTCTTCCTCTTCTTTGTATTATCATCATCATCATCATCATCATCATTTCATACAATACATCTTTAACATACTTTCTCCTCCCTACATTCTTCCCTTCACACACCTCCACTCTCCACATGATCCACTCTCTGTACATTTCCCTTCAGAAAAGAGCAGGCTTCCAAGGGATATCAACCAAAAGCAACATAACAAATCACAATAAGGCTAGGCACAAACCCTCATATCAAGGCTGAGCAGGGCAACCCAGTAGAAGAGAAAATGGTCCCAAGAGTAGGCAAAAGAGTCAGAGACACCCCCATTCCCATTATTAGGAGTCCCACAAAACACCAAGTTACAGAATGCTAATATATATGCAAAGGACCCAGTACAGACCTATGCAGGCTCTATGATCCCTGCTTTAGTCTCTTTGAGCTCCTGTGAGCCTTGCTTAGTTCATTTAGTGGATCGTATTTTCCTGGTGTCCTTGACTATAATGATATTCTGCTATATTCATAGATTGCTAGGTTCCCCTAGCAGTTATAATCAGAAGTGCTTCTTCCAGTAGCAGATGGGAGCAGATCCAGAGAGACCCACAGCCAAACATTAGGCAAAGAGAGAACCCAAATTAGAGATCTCCATTGGGTGTCTCCCCTCAGAGCTTGGGGAATACCATAAGAGTATGGTGAACCCATCCCTAACATACTAATAAAAGGCTAAAAGTGGGCAGGGGTGTAAATCAGTGGTAGAGTATTTGTCAAGCTTTAGCCAAGGGGTCCTGATTCAATTCCTAGCATCACAATTTTTAAATTAAAACAAACGTAGTAAAAGAAGCATTTAAAAGTAGCATATAATTTCTAGCCGTGAAACTTTAAACAAAAAGTAGAATCACGAATCCTTCCACACTGAACTAGCATGAAGGCTGTTGCACTATTTCTTAACCACATGGCTTAAGTTTCTCAAGATTTTAGAAGAAGAGGAACTGGAAACTGACACGCGATCTCATTCATTTTCCATTCATTTTCTCATTTTCTTTATTCTTATTTGTAAATAAATCGGAATATAAAGAATGGGACCTATGGTACCTGAAGTACAATATTCACATACTACGCAGGCATAATTACGCAGGCCTGTGAACCTAGAATTCAGGAGACTGAAGGAGGAAGATTTGGAGTTAGAGGTCTACAAAGCATCTTGTTTGATCTTGCTTCAGGAAAAAAGACTTTCTATATTGTTAAATGTAGATAACCTGTTAATACTACAAGTTCGTAAAAGTCACACTTAAGAAGTCACATAAATTATGATGACTTTCCAATTTTCTATTTTTATGGGATTTTCTAGACTAGGGTCAGCTGATTTTTAGTCTATCTACAACACTGATATATTTCTTTTCTACTTTGCTTCTTCATCCTCTAGTTAATCTAATTGTTCATGTAAAAATAAATCTCTCCTACTTACAAAAATATTCCCTATTCACACATTTTATTTCTATGTAATCATATTTGTTTATACATTTTATGATGTATTATATTATCTATTAGCTATTATTTAATATAATATATTAAAAACTCCTTACCTGGAAACCAGAGAGAAAAGACTAAACTTAAACTAAAGGTTAATTGAAACCATGGAATGAATGAGAAATGCAATACTGTTTATCCTCTCAGGCATGATCAAGAAAGTGTGGTAGGCCAAGGAGATGGTTCAGAGGATAACTGTGTTTGCCACCACCCTTGATGACCTAAGTTTGTTTCCCAGGATCCAGTTGGTGGAAGGCAAGAGCTGATTTCTTCAAGCTGTCTTCTGAGTTCCTCATGTGTACTGTGGAAAAATATCCCAATCCCACCCATCCTTCCAAAACTTAAATGTTAACAAAAAAGAAGTATGGCTTTAAGATGTACTTAAGTAAAATTTCAAGATCCTTGAGCTATGAGCCATCAGAGGTAGCAGATAGGCTGTACTGACTTCAGAATGTCCCAAAATATATTATTTCTTAATCTTAGGTCCACAAATATACCATAGAAAGGTGAAATGGAAATTTCTGGTTTCTTTGGCTATTAAGTTGTGTCAAATTCACATTTTGCTGAAGCAGACATATGAAAGAATGTTTTCCTGAAACAGATACATAAGAAGATGTTTTGCTGAAGCAGATACATGAGAGGATGTGTAATGATTGGAAAGAGTTTGAGTATAACCCAAGCAACAGTGAATGGCACTCTTGCATTGGTTCATCTTGCAATGCTTTTTTGGTCTTTGTTGAGCTTTGCTTATCTTTTCTCTTCATGACTTCATAGAGAGAAAAGTGTCAAAGAACTTCTTGTGGTATTCTGGATGCTTCTTGGTACTTCTGCAGACTCCTGCAGATTAGGCAAAGCCTTGGTAGTTTCTTCTGGATTGAGCTGCTTCTACTGAATAGTTTTTGTTGTTCGTCTATTAAGCTAAACTCTTGCTACTGATTTGTGTTTGGAATCACCCCAAAGAACTATATCTAAACAGGTCCACACCCCTTTTTTAACCTTTCTTTTCCCCTCCCTTTGATCAGTTGTCTAGAAGGGAGGTTGAAACACTTAAGAATACTTATTAGAATAAATTTTGAAAAATCTACAGAGGGGTGTGTACATTCTTCATCAGAAATATTACATAAAAACTAAATAAGAAACATGAGCATACTTTAGGCCATTTGGGTACTCACCTATTATCTGTACTATGAGGCATGGGTCTAGTTACTATATCTCTTCTGCCTTTAAACACGTATTGAAGTGAAGGCAGCATAAAATTAGCTTTGTATCCAGTAAAATTTCATAATCAATCAGGGAAATGAGTTGGGAAAACTGAATTGAACTCCCCAGGGTTCATTGTCATAGAGGTATCATGAATTTAACAGAAGACTTAATATTTTTTGTTCTCTAATGTTTACATGTATGCCTGACCTTTCAACTAGTCATCAGTCATAAGAGATAAAAAATGACATGAAAAGTCTGTAGAGATGGCTTTGAAATTATGAGTATACAATACTTGTTCAGATAATACAAGCTTGATTCCCAGCAACTATATCACTTGCCACAGACTCACATGAAATTCCAGCTTCTGGGATTTTATGATTTCTTCTGTTGTCCACAGACACTGCATCTACATGCACTAACCCATATGCATTCACCCAAATGCAGAATTAAAAATAATAAAATAAAATATGCTAAGTTGTGACATAAGTATATGATTTTTAGGTAATATTTGCAAGTTCTGAAATCAAACAAATGGGTTCTGACTTAATATAGAACTTAAGAATGCTGAAACGGACATATTTTTCCAACTGAATACTGTAACTCTATAGAATTATCAAAACAAAAACATAGGCAAATCCAGTGAACATTTAAAGTTGTGGGAATATGACAGATACATAGAAACTGTTTTTTTTTTTAAAGCATAGACTCCTTACTTGAACCACAAATCCCACATTTTCTTTTTGTCTCCTTTAGACATTTTACTGTCAATCTTCACAATGTTCTGTTTCAGATTACAAAAGAATCAAAAATGGGGCAGAAACTGAAGGAAAGGCCATCCAGAGACTGTCCAACCATGTGATCCACTCCATCTGCACACACCAAACCCCAACACTGTTGCTGATTTCAAGATGTGCTTGAAGACAGGAACCTGGTAGGGCTGTCCTCTGAGAGGCTCTGCCCCCACCTGACTGAGACAAATGCAAATATTCACAGCCAAACATTGGACTGAACCCAAGGTCCCCATTCTAAGAGTTAGGAGAAGGGCTGAAGGAGCTGACGGGGATCGCAACCTCATAGGAAAGACACCAGTATCACTTAACCAGACCCCTCGGAGCTCCCAGGAAATAAACCGCCAACCAAAGAGTATACATGGGCTGGCCCATGGCTCCTGCTACATATGCAACAGAGGACTGCATATCTTGCATCAGAGGAGAGGCTCTTGGTTCTGTGAAAGCTTGATACCCCAGGGAAGGAGGATGCTAGAGGAGCAAGATGCCAGTGGGTGGGTGGGTAAGGGAGCACAGTCTTAGTGGCAAAGGGGAGAGGGATGATGTGGGTAGTTCATGGATCGGAGACCAGGAAGGGGAATAATATTTGAAACGTAAACAAATAAAATGATTAAGAAAAATTAAGTAAGTAAATAGATAAATAAAAATTTTAAAAACGTGTTGAATTTTTCAGACTGCAGAGGCTGGAAATGCCACCTAAAGTACCTGACAATGAAGATAGGGAATTAACTACTTATCATATGATCCAGATATTGCCACAACCAAGACCCACTCTTCACTTAGGAGACATCAGCAGGGCTTCATACTAGCTATGTAAGTGAGGGATCACTACTTGATTCTAGTTCAACTTAATAGAGAAAAAATACTCAGCTATGAAATACTTGTCAAGCCCACTGTCATAAGACAAAGGGCCACACAAAGAAGATAATCATGAATTAAATGCTTCTGTTCCTTATACCTTACCATTCAATGAACAATGCTGCAGAAGAAGACTGGAGGATTGTAGCAGAAAGGGCTGCTACGTCATTTTGTCATTTGTTTTGAGATTGTAGTTTAATAATAATAATTTCCCCTTCCCTTTCCTCCCACCAAGCTCTCCCGTGTACCTGTCCACTCCTTCAAATTTATGACCTGTTTTTCATTAATTTTTATTGTATGCATATATGTGTTTGTATATACATATATCTTTCTAAATGTAGTCTATCAAATTCATATTAATTATTTGTATATATGTTTAAGAAATTATTTTTTAAAGGAAGTATGTAGGGAAACCCAAAGTTTTAGTTTCCGATGGCTATATCTACAGGAACATTTAGCAAAATCTAATACCTTGCTAAAGTAATATAAAAACCTCCTTATAAGTGTATCCTCAATGCCATGGGTCATGCAGTTCTTGGACTACTAGGGAAGTAAAATAATCATTTGCAAAATGATAGTGACTAATTACCATGCAAAGTCAGCAGTCTGCAGCAACCAACACCCACATTTCACCATTTCCTTATGGTCACATCTCACTGAAAAGAACCAGAAATGTAAGAAATAAAAGTAAACATGAATCCATTTGGGTTACTAATTTAGAAACATGAATATACATTGAACTAAATTCAGGCAAGTAAGGCTACAGAATCCTATTGAAGGCAAGATATGGTTTAAGTGAGTTTAAGAGTTGTGAAGATGTCAATTGAATAAAATCTAAAAAACAGAACCAAGTAAATACTTATGCAGAATCTCTGAACTCAAGAGATACCAACCTAGAGATTCCACAAAAAGAAGTGGGGTCTGTGGAGATGTCACACTTTGTGAAGGATCTAGGATTCACATTTGACACCCAGCACACGGGTAAAAGCTGGTAACAGCAGTGAGGGCCTGCAAGTGCTAACAAGGCAGAGACAGATGGCTCCTGAGAGCTCACTGGCCAGCTAGTCTAGCCAAGTGACAATACATTGGTGAGATGTTCTATCCACCCAAAAAGGGAAGAACAATTAAAGAAGATAGTGATGCAGGCTTCTAGCTCTCATACAAATGCACAATCATTCATGTGTACACATGTGAACACACATACCCAGCCATATCACATGCACCCACATGAGAAAGAGAGATAAAGGGGGGAAGGGGAGAGGAGGTGGAGGGGGAGGGAGGGGGAGAGGGAAAGGGAGGGAGGAGAGCTAGAGCGAGAGCAAGAACGAAGGCCAAAGACAAGAGGGAAGGAGGTAGACATAACCTTATACCTTAGAGGAGTGGACTGTAGCAAAGTGGATACTATTTATTTTATAAACATTTCATGCCTTTACTTTTATTTGTCTCTGTTTTGAAATTAGACAATGTTAGTAACAAATTCCTATATTCTCTAGGGTTATCTGTCCAATGACAGAGCATGTTATCACAATGCATATCTTTGAAGTTTTTCCCACTGAATCACCAGGGTCACCTGGATCTTCCATAATCACACACAGTGATACATTCTATGCATCTTCCCCCAGCTTAATTTCCCTAGAACCTATTGCTCATCATTTTCTGTAGCATCTCTAAAGTTAGAGTCCTTCTTTTAGGTTTAGACCTGCCTACAATTGAATAATAAAGGTTGACTTTTCATGTTCCCCACATCTCTTAGCTTGATTCACCGGCAGATTCTAAAGACCCACCATGTATGGAAGATAACGACAATCACAGAAACTCTTGCTTGGTACTCAGGATTCTGTAATGAGAATATCAAACCTTTGCCTGGCTCTCAGCTGACTAAGGCCTTGTCCCTGGGAAAACCTCCCTCTCTTTTGAGTTTCTCCCTAGAATACTAAGAACTGCCTTCTAGATTTAGGATCTTTCTAGCTCACAGCTGACAACAGGCCTTGCTACTTTTCCTCTTTTGTTTTTTCTTTTTCTACACTATTCACTACAAGGAACTTAAATTTTTAACTCTCTTATCTGTAATTTATATGTATTTGTAAAAATAGTCTAGCAAACATGGGCAAATACCTAATTGATATGTGATTAAACGGGATGAAATCAATTAAAGAAAGAATACATATTGTACAAAATATATTCATATTTTATAGGATAGAGAGTAGAGTCATAGTTCATTCTCACAGTTTCAGTTAATATGAGTTGATAAAATGTACATTAAAGATCAGACAATTTTAAGTAGTTTTTGAAAGTCATTTCATTCAAGAGTTCTATTCAGGAAGGATGTTGCTTCATGTACTCAGTGAAAAATAGAACTTTTCTCCGTTTTTACTTCATATATGCTATCCAACTAGCTGCAGCCTTCTGCTTTTCATGGAAGGCTGACACATTAGTCAGAGTCAAGTGGCCGCCAGACATCCGGCTGCTGACCACACTTGGTCAAAGGGAAGCTAAGCAGCAGATTTCCCAAAGGAAGAAGGGTAAATCTCCATATGAACTTCCACATAAAGTATCAAAAGTTAATCAAAGGAATATAGTCTTAGAATGCTTATAGTGTTTTAAACAATTATATGACTCTATAAACAAAAGAGCAAAAAACGACTAGGTCTGTTGGGTAAATTTTTAACAATAATATCTCTTATATTTGCCTCATCCTTAACACCTGCCACTGTTGTTGGGATTCAAAACATTTTTGCTGTAGAATTACCCAGGTTTAAGATTTACTATATCTCAAGAGTTGGATAATTTATGGAAAGTTCCAGAAAGTTGATAAAAGCAGGGAAAAAATGTCAGAATAACTTCCTTATTTTGAAGATATCTATATCCTAATTCTCAAAAGAGAAACCCTCATTTCAGGTTAAAGGAGAGCCACATTTTTATGTAGAATTAATTACATTTACATTGAGGCTGCTCAGTTGACATTACAGGAAGTGGATTGTTCTGGATCACCCAAGTGATTCTAAGTAAAAGCTGAAAACAAAGAAATAGGAGGAAAGTCAGAGGACGTAAGCTCTGAGAGAATAGACAGAGAAATGAAAAATTGCTGACCTTGATGATGGAGATAGAAATCCTCTTACTAAACATTATGAGTGGTACCCAAAATAAGAAAACATAAGGACACATTGTATTTCTCTTTCAAGCATCCAGAAAGCATTGCTAACATGTTAGCAACTTGATTTTATTTCGAGAAGATTCACTTTGAACATTTAATCTATACACTGATAGGAGAATAAATTCTTGCTTCTTATGCCACTCTTTGTATAGACAGGAGCAACAGTATTAGAAGAACAACAATTTTGCTAGGTTTTTTGAGTGTAGTAGCAAAATACAAGTGTGGGTGGCTTATAAACAGAAGTCTGTACCTCTCAGGCCTAGAGGTAAAGGCAGGTCAGCTCTAAACTGGATGTCTTCATCATACCTTCTCTGCAATGTTCAGGCATCTTTGGAGAAGAGTGTGCAGAAAAATTGTATGATCCAGAAGTGGTAGACAACTCTTAGAAATAAAAAGCCTTTCCAGGCACCTCAAGACACATATGTGCTTACAGAGACTATATCAGGGTGTAAAGACCTGCAAAGATTCAAGTCAGACAAGGGAAAATGGTCACAGAGTCCCACCATTAGCCAAGAAGTTGTTTGCAATTGATAGCTGCCTGAAGATGAAATGTTACTTTTCTTTTCATGGAGTGTCATGAAGTATATCAACTACACTCTAAGGCAGAACCCTCACTCAGGAATAGTTAGTTGTACATCACAAATCAGACCCCAGACTTTTGTTACGACATTTTTGTTTTATTTTTCTTTTGTTTTATTTTAAGAGAGTTAAAAGACACAAAGAACATAAAGATGAGAGGGACAAAAGATGAGGTTAGACTCAGGGAGATGTTAAGGGGAAATGTGAGCAAAAGATGTATGAAGTTCACAAATAATATACAAGTATACGTTAAAGATTAGCAGAAGCACTAGACTCTCAGAACTCACTTCATTTTATTTTTATATCTACATCTCTGGGAATTGTGGATCTATCTTGGGATTATTTTCCCTAAGTGCAAAATCAAAATAAGTGATAAGAAGAGCTATTTTTCTGTAATGGGTAGAATCCAAATCAGCTTTGTGAGGTTTAAGGTATGGGATGACAATGCTCTGGTTTGCAGAACCCAATGGAGGTCACTGAAACCCTCTAGGGAGAGGAATTCAGGACAGAAGATAGTAATCACTCTGTGATGCTTCTATAGAAAGTTAGGTGATAAAAAGTTACACAACAAAGTGTTTCTCCTCACTGGGGTGCAGGTGAGTGCCCTCTAGTGGGCATGAACACAGAAAATAAATATTTTATGCTATTGTCCAGAGTTTCGTAAACAAACAACTATCAATGCAGTAGTAAGGATAGCAATTGTCACTTGTAATTTCAACATTATGGGCAGGTTAAAATGAAATGTGTTTGTGTTTTGAGTTGTT